TAGGAACCTCAACAGTGGGCACTTTTCAGACTAATACCAGGCCTCTCTGAAGAGCGTAGGGGTTGAGCACCCAGCTCCCCCGCACACCAGCCACATGACCTCTAATGTCCCGTGCTTCAGTCTGTCACCTGGGAAATGCAGGTAACAGTACACACCTCACAAGGTTGTGAGATTAAAATAGTACAGTATGTGCAGAGCACTTAAAATGATGCCCAGTGTTGGCCCTTAGCATTACTCTAGGACTACAGAAGCCCTGCTGAGGACCCATGCCACACCGCCAGAAAGAAAGAACAGGAAGGGTGGGCTCTCAGAAACCAAAGGAAGGGAACAGTGTTGTTGAAACTCTGTGGTTAAACCTTTCAAACACATCTATCTCTAGCTATTACCCTATTTGTCACAAAACAATACTTGTCAATAATTGGCGGTAAAGAAAAAAATACTCTAAGAGGTCAGAGGTGTCGCAGGAAAGTGGACGCCCTTGTATTTCAGAAATGCATACAGAAAGGCCACTCCTCTGTTCGAGGACACAAACCCTATTCGCACCCAAGGGACCAGCAAGGCCCTCAACGGCCAGTCTTTCCGTTTTTTTTTTAAAGATTTTACTTATTTATTTGAGAGAGAGAGACGGTGAGCACCAGCGGAGGAAGGGGCAGAGGGACAAGCAGACTCCCCAACATGGGGCTCAGTCCCACAACCCTGAGATCACGACCTGAGCCGAAATCAAGACCCAGACGCCTCACTGACCGAGCCACCCGGGCGCCCCTCAACTGCTAGCCTCGGTTTAGCCTAGCGCCACTCCACACATCCCAAAAAGAGGCTAAGAGCCACTATTTTGCTCTTTTGTTGTTAATGACTGGCATCCGTGGGCTCATTCAAGTTTTTTTTTAATTGAGGCTATTATAATGCTTCACATTTGCCTATACGTTTAGTATTATTTAATAAAGAGCATGACTTCCAAATAACTGAAAAGGTCCAGAGAATTAAAATATTAAAATTTTTAATTTTTAAAAGTCTTGCCATTACACCATTACTTCTATATGCCCTGTGCACACATTCTGAAAAGGTATTTTCTCATAATGAGAATTTCTTTCTGTTAACACTCATAATTGTGTTTTACCGTTGGCTATTCTTTATGATTCTAATGCCAGAGGAATGAAGAGCTTATATGAAACTGAGGATGAGGAAGACTGCCCAAAGGGCCTGTTGTCTACCATGCAGACCCCAGGGGCTATTAATTATTTAGCAACTTTTCAAAGTTAATAAATAGGAATGTCTTTTTGCCCTTTATTCCCCAGATGAATTTAACCAAATGAGAAAGAGGGTGTGTGTGCACAGAGTGAGCAGTCTGAGGACACAGGGGGTGCAGGTAACGAAAAGGAGATTTAAAAATATATATATATTTAATGTCAATTAAGTATGTACAACACTACCTTACGTGGCATGGTTTTATTATGACTAAATCCTCATGAATATTTTGATGGTTTTTGAGTGTACTGTGAAAAACATGAGCACTTTAAAAACATAACATTAATACAAAAAAAAAGGGAGCAAAATTAAAATGACACTTGAAAAAAATACTTATAGTTAGAAAATGCAAACACCGAAGTATCAAAGGGAAAAAATAGCCCCCTTCTCACTGCCGAGTCCTTCCCCCCCAAAGCTTTATGCTTTTCTATCCTACCAGAAAAATAACGTATGCGTGTACATTGATTTATTTACTAAAAGGAGTCCTATCGTGCAGTTTTGTGAAATACGTTTTTTACTCAATAACATATCTTATTTTTTTAAAGATTTTATTCAGTTATTTGAGATAAAGAGAGAGCTCAGGCACTAGTGGGGGGAGGGGCAGAGGGAGAGGGAGAAGCAGGCCTCCCGCGGAGCAGGGCGCCCGATGCGGGGCTCGATCCCAGGACCCTGGGACCATATGACCTGAGCCGAAGGCAGACGCCTAACTGGCTGAGCCGCCCTGGTGCCCCCTCAATAACGCATCCTGATGCTGTTTCCGGATCAGCACAGGCCCCTGCCGCACTCTTTCTGCTCTTACACCAGTGCTTAGGGAAGATCTCAGCACGTGAAGCTCAGCGTCCTATGGGGTGTTTCAATGGGGCCTGCCACCAAAGGGAGTGCAGCAAGCACAAGCCACTCCAGTCCATCCCAGGTGCCTGGTTGGAAAAGGACCATCCAGTTCCCTTGGTTCACTTGAATTCCTTCAGAAACCTCCTGGGACACTGACGTACAGCCAGTGGGTCTCAGCAACAGCTCGGGAAAGAGCTGCTTGCCGCTGAGGAAGGCGACACTGCTCTCTGTCCACGTGTGAGAGGAAGGGTTCCTGGGGCAAAGCAGGAGTCCTGCCCTCGCGCTCAGATCCGCCTGCTGTCCCCGCTCCACTGCCAGGCGTGTACGGAAGGCTCGCGGCAGGAACGGAAGGTGTGCAGACGGGGGAGCAGACGCGGGCGCCGGAGAGACACGCGGGGGGCGGTGGGTTCGACTGCCAGGTTATTCTGCAGGTATTGGAAGCTCCCTGCTCAGGAAGACCAAGGAAGCAGGGCATTCAGAGCTGCCGGCCTCAGGGTGCACAAGAACACAGTCCCGTGGCTGAGTCGGGGTTAAAAAAATGACCACAGAGCCCACGGCTCAGAAATATGAACAACAATAAAGCCATCTTACATCTTTGCACTTAGCTGCCTCGAGTCCTTTTTGAAACGTTGGAGGGATTAAACTCTATATTGAAATCTTTCGACGGAGCATTTTTCCAAATACCTGTTCTATTTGTTCTCTCATTTGACCCCCACACCAACTCAGCAAGTAGGCCGGTGCCACTTCCTGCACCTGCAAGATGGCATGTGTGCAGGGCCACGACTCACCCAAAGTCAGCGGGCCAAGGGTTCTGACTCCAAGCACCAGGCTCCTTCCTGGATTCTCCCTGGCCCCCCCAAGTCCAGGGCCAGCTTGCCAATTTCAGAACCCTCAGCAAGAAGAGCCCGAAAAGAAGCCAGAGATAGAAATATGAAATATGCCCTCCTCAGGAATACCCGAGATCATGAAAACTACCTTTTCCTAACAAAAATTTAAGGAACTGGGTCTCTTGCACGGGAGCACCAGGCGCCAGGCTCGGAGCGGAACTCCACGGATCACTTAAAGAAAATGGCAGACAAGCCGGACATGGGGGAAATCGCCAGCTTCGATAAGGCCAAAGCTGAAGAAAACGGAGACGCAGGAGAACACCCTGCCGACCAAAGAGACCATTGAGCAGGAGAAGCAGAGTGAAATTTCCTAAGAACCTAGAGGATTCCCCACCCCCATCATCTTCAACACACCCCAGTCGTGATGTGGAGGAAGAAGAGCCAGCTGCAAGATGGACACGAGCGACAAGCTGCACTGTGAACCCGGGCACTCCGTGCCGACACCACCAGCCTGCGGGTCTCTGACGGGACCCCCCCCCCCATCGAACTGCCAAATTCTCCAGTTTGCCCTGGGATATTATAGCAACTTATCTGTATGTTTAATGAAAATAAAACACACCTCGTGGCAAAAAATAAAAAAATTTAATGAACTGAATAATACTGATGTTGCTAAGTACCAGGTTGTGATACCAAACTCACACCGTAACAGAACAATAGTCTTTACTAGTTTTACAAAGACTTTTGTGAAAGGGGAACCCAGCTGGCTCACTCAGTGGAGCCTGCGACGCTTGATCGTGGGGTTGTTTGAGCCCCATGGTGAGTGTACAGATCATTTAAAAATAAAAAAAATCTTAAAAAAAAAAGACATTTGTGGAGCAACTGGGTGGCTCAGTTGATTAAGCACCTGCCTTTGGCTCAGATCATGACCTCAGGGTCCTGGGATTGAGCCCTGGGTCGGGCTCCCTGCTCAGCGAAAAGTCTGCTTCTCCCTCTCCTCCCGCCCCTCCCTTACCCCCCACCTCGTATGCTCTCTCTCAAATAAATAAAGACTTTTGTGAAAATGTAGTTTTATATTTTATTATTAACACACACTACCTCAGCTTTTTTTTAATCCAGTAGCTCTTTAATTTTTCCAGTTAGGCACTAACTTGGACAGTACTAGTAATTTGCATTTCAGTATCTAACACCTATGTCTTGTCTTTTTGTCACTCACATGTCCTACATGACTATTTTTTAAACTTTTTTGAGACTGTCCAAAAGGAGAAATATATTTTACTTTGTGAAGCATAGATACATATCTGTCACTGAAACAAAACTTTCACAAAATCATAATCATCCTTCCTGTGTGTGTTTTACTGGGATATCTCCTATGCTTTTTATACCTCTGGGGAATAGAGGTCTAGAAAGGTTCCTCTCTGCTGACTTAGTAAATTAGCAAAAATTAGGAACAGCCTTTAGGATTGAAGTAATACACGGAGGGCCAGGAGGCTGGAAGTCAGGAGCCAAATCTTGAAAGATGAACTGGAATCAGAAGGGTAGAGACTAAAAAGATGAAGTGAGCCCAGCACATCTGGGGGACAGTCATGAGGGGTTCATATAGGGAGTGGTAAGGAATAAAATCAAAAACAAGGCCTGAGGTCAAGTCTGCAGAGAGCAAGACAGACTCTGGATTTCATCCTGCAGGTAATAACGCTGTGACTGACGGTCTGTGAGTGTGCAGAGTGCTATTCCAGAATTGTTCATCTGCACACGGACTTGAAACCGGCTCTAAAAACACCCGGAGCTCAGGCACCAGGTTCTCCAGCTCTATTTCAGCACGGAGAAAAAGTGCACACGGACCTCATAAATTCAGAATTCTAACAAGAGCAGTCTGGGTCACCTAAAAAAATAGAAAAGCTGGGATAAACATATTAAGTTTAGACAGCAACTGAGCCGTTTGTTTCTTTTCATCCTTTTATTTCTGTTAATGAAGTGTGGGCCTTATCTGCAGTGACCACTAAATCATTATTTCCTTTACGAAAGCTATACACTTTATTGAGAAGCTCGTCCTCAGTACCGTTATGAGTCTAACCAATAAATAACTTTGCAAAAAATAAATTTTGTATCAGCAGTAACTTTTAATAATAAGGTCGTAAAGCTCACAGACACACAGGGACCTCTGAAGGTGTCCAGCACCCAGTAATTCAGGCTCTGCTGGACACAATGACAGTGCCCTCTGATCCGCACCTAGCACTCCGTCTGTCTCAGGAGAAGAAAAACATCCAGCGTGAGTCACCTTGCAATTACACCGCCACCTGGAAGCATACTTGAGAGATGAGAACTATAAAGCTGGGTCTCTGTAAGCGCCTGCACTGGACTTCCTCCCCCTTCTTCCAGTCTGAGGATCAATAGAGCTCAGGATTCTTTCACTAATTTCTCATAAGCATCATTTTTTTTTATCATTTTTTGAATTTAAAAGGGACTGTCTCCCAAGGCCTCCCTGACGTTACCTTGAGTTACTAACACTGGAAATTTCAGAGATAGAAGGCGCATCAGTTGAATCTACGTTTTTTCCACGCGGAAACTACTTCTGAGGAAGATTTCCTTTTCATTTCCGAGAAAATGTTTGTACAGGCGCGTACACACCGTCTGGGGTAACGCAGACCCTTCACCGACGGTCAGGGTTCATTCAGCCCAGTCTTTGCTGCTGCATTTCTGCGTGCACACAAACGGGCACGTCACAGTGACATGGAACCCTCACGTCTCACCTGAAAATGTCAGGCCTGGATCTCAAGCCGAGTCCCAAGCCTGCTCGGGATGCACGTCCGGCGGAGGCGGCTGGCAGGGCCAGGGGCTGCCCCCGGGCAGGGCCTCGGGGTCCCGCACATCCCGCTCTCCCGCGGCAGCCCGCCTCCCCTGGGGGGCGCGGGCTCCCTTCCGCCCACCGCCCCAGACCCCGGGGGGCGGCCCGGGCGCGTCGGCGGGGCGCCGCTCGGAAATTCGGGTTTCTCCACACTAAGACGCAGAGCCTGGTCACGCCGGTTTCGGTCCGGGTGACCGCTGGGTGAGCCGCCGGGGCCGCCCGCCCTGTGCCTCCACGTCCGGGTCTCGACGCCCCGCCGCGCCCGGCCCCCCTCGACCGCGACCCCGGCCCGCGCCGACTCCGACGCCCCCCGACCCTCTGACCCCCCGGCCGCGACCCCCTCGACCCCGACCTGGCCCGCGTCGACACCGACCCCCATTCCCCGGCCCCGACGCCCCGGACCGCCCCCCCCCGACCCCCGCCGCGACCCCGGCCAGCGCCAACCTGCGCCGGGCCTGGGGCCGCCGCACTTACTCCTGCCAAGGCGGCCGTCGGGAAGGCCAGGGTCCGGGGGACCCGGGTCGGGGGGGATCGGGGCCGGGGTCGCGGCCGCCCGCCGCCCGCCCCAAGGCCCGGCCGCCCGGCGCACGTGCCGGCTGACAGGCCCCCCATAGGTTCCATACCTGCCACCGGAAGTGAGTGAGGAGGGCAGTATAGGCATTTCCTGTGACGCGAGCGCCTGGACTCCATTAGGCAGCAGCTGGGGGAAGAATCAACACACCAGGGAGCGGAGCGCAGCCACCGAGCGCCGAGGCGGCCGCTGCCTCCGCCGCCGCCCGCCGCCGCCGCCGCCGCCAGCGCCGGGGCTCAGCCCCGCGGCGGGCCCCGC